CATAAACCGCCTTTCCACCCCAAGCTTCCTGCCTGGCGACACATCCAGCAGTGCAGCCAGCCCTGGCTTCACTTCCCAAAAGCCATCCCGTGACAGATGGCACAACTCGCTTATGATGGTTTTGGGCGTAACCTCACTCGCCCAAAGGACCAGGAAACATGAACCAACATGGCCAAACCCAAAAGGTCAAAAGGTCGGCTTTGGGCGACTGAGTAGCTGGGATTAGATACCTTGTGGTTGGGCAAAAGTCGTCCATTTGCAGCCATCGCCTTTACTTACTCATGAGAATTGCGCCTACTTTCACCCAGTACTTGGACCCCAGGAACACCAACACATGCGGACCAAGCAGATCCCTTGGGCACAGAAACCGCCCCGTGAATCTGTTGAACCCGAACGATCGGGTACACGAACAAACCCAGCATCATACGGCTGTGTGTCAGAAATAGGTACCCAAAATAGAACCCTGGTAAGTTGTACCAAGGATTAAAACCTGCGGTCCCCTGGTGGTTCAATCTTGACGCATACCCATATCTTCTTAGCCTTTAAATACAACAAAGTTTTCTGAGACGCCCGCCAGAGTACTTTTTTCCACTTACCCACAGATAGCCGTTGGTGTGTGCACATCTTTTTTGTGTGTTTTTGTCTCTACGGGTGTGAATCTTTGAGTGTCCCCTTGTCAGCTTGGTTCAAATAGGCACCAACAGAAAGAAACAAGCCTTCAGTCTGTTTCCGGCCCCCCCCAACGGTCAATCGAAGCCTGCATGGGGCACTTTTCGGGTCTCAAGCCCCAGTTCCGGCATGACGTGATGATGCTGCAGTTTTGGGTCAGAAGGAAGGGGGAGCGTTGGACATGTCTCAACACAGGCATCCGACGACCGAGGGTCAAGTGCTATAACTCACCCATAACGGTCGCACGTGTCGTGTGGCCCGAGAAACGCGTTTTCTGACTCAGCCACAAGTTGCTCAAAAGTTCTGAGAGCATCCATCTGACCGCCAAAATGGTGGTTTCCTTGGTGTCTGTTATGGCTGGTGTCTTAAATCGCCAAGTTGCATCTGCGCTTACCATAACCTGAATTCTGGAATGCCTAGGGACTTTAGCAAAGGCTAAGAGCAAACTATTTGGAGCAACTATTGGCCTCTATTCTTCGCCAGACCGGCGAACACTTGTCCGTGCCAAGGGCTATGGCCAGCCAGCCGAGCCCCTGGCCACGAGCGGCTCACAATGCTCGCAGGGAACGCAGCGCGCAGAGCGCGGAGTTGGGCGGCTGAAATTTGAGCGAGGGCCAGCCGCAACTTTTTCTTGTCTCTTTGTTTGTATGCATTTCCGAAGGTGCCAGTTTGGTACATAAAAGTTTGAACGGCCAAATCTCAATGCTGGTGTTGGAGTGATGTTAAAAAGAAAAAAGAAAGGAACCAGGGCCCCGTCGTTTTGGGACTCCAACTGAAGAAAGGCACCCTGAAGCTCTTCCCCGCCTCGATCGCCGAGGTTCCAGCACCACGAGAGATCCAGCCTCCGATTCGGGTCGATTCGCCCCCCCCCCCCTCCCGCCCCCAAGGGTGGGTGGGACTCCTTTTGGTCAGGATTTCACACAAATCAAATCAACCATTTTGGTCCAACCATTTCGGGGACCCCTATTTTCGGAAAAACGACACAACCAGGTGTTGGTGTTGGGAGAAACACATGGGCAATTCTCGCAAGTAGATCATTGCTTCCAAATAAAAAACCAGCTACAGGAAAGCCACAGAACCGAATACCAAGCACATAAAGAGGAGAACTAGACACCAAATCTAACCGTTCAAGTAGGGAAACCAAGATTTAGGATTTGCCGCTCCCAGTGTTAGGGTCAAACCTGGGTTTCCCAAAATCCCTGTGCCTCTTTTGAGTGTACCCCATGTTGGAGGGCTTCACACACAAACAACATCGGGGGGTCCGTTTCAGCCATGTGGGTCTGCCATTTTTGTGTGGGTGCCCTTTTAGGAGTTTAAAGGGACCCCAAAGGGAAAATCACCATTTACGTACCTCAAAAAAAAGACACACCCATGTGCTTTTACGGACCCCAAACCAATCTATCTGAGCAAAACAACAAAAACACAGTTGCCGTCGCAAACACCACCGCCACAGGGCCTCCCTGCGGAAATTCCCCAAAGTTCATGATGTTTTTCTTCAATGTTCCAGGTTGACCTGCAGGTGAGCTATCCTTTGGCAGGTTCGCATTTTCCCAGTCACCGCAAACATCAGCAACATAATGCAACATATCAACAGGACTCAACATACGAACTACTCTACTACATACATCCCATCGAGTCACGCTCAAGACCTGCCATCGATGTTCAGCTGTTCAAGATCGTGTTGGACTTCCCGAGCAAGTTAGCCCCTCGAAGAACAACCGCTGCTTGCTTGCTAGTCACATGATCTTGGAAAGGGGGAACTAGGGGTTCTAAAAGGCTGTGGGTCAAAACCAATGCTACCATTTTGGGGTAGGTGCACCACCCATTTTAGTCTATTTTAGTGGGGATTGGGATGTTCACTGGGTGTACGGGCGTTTGACCCATGGCCAAATCTGGAAACGGAACTCGTCTTTGAAAGACAACCAACAAGACGCCTGGACCAAGTCTTGCGACCCATCAGGCGGGCAAAACGAGATCCCCTGACCTCAGACTCCGTTTTGGTGTCCTTTGGTGCCCTCTGGTGCTGCCTAAGTGGGTTTGGGTAGCTTCCAAAGACCGCAAAAATGGACCTGGGGGAAAACAAAGGAAAGAACTTGCTGGTCCATAGGCAATGAGAAATGGAAAGACCCATATAACAATCTCGTGTCGTTTCCTTTTTGGGAATCTCTACGTTCATTGCCAAACCCTGGGTCATTCCCTGAGCAACTGCAAGACAAAAAAAAAGTGTCTACTCTTGGGTTTGTTCCGGAGACCCAAGCAGCCCTGCAGGTGACCTAAATGTCTTTGCCATGAGCCTCCGCGACACTTTCACCCACCCCGCCAGTCGGCTGCGCGCATCCTGCGTTTTGGTTGCCTCTTGACGCGTGAAACCTACCCTGGTCGTAATGTACAGGTGTGAACCATGGTCAAAACTCGCAAAAACATAAATTGCGCAAGCTGCCCTGAGCCCACGGACCCCTGCACGAGGATCCTGTAACGAAAAAATCCACTTGTATTGGCAACCATTGGGACCCTGAAGGGTTTGTGAATGACAACAGGATAAACCCAACCATCTGAAACATGCCTTGAGCTCGGCAGAGACTGAATCATCAAATCAGGGCTGGCTCTCGTTTTGACCACAGCACTTCTCACGAACGCACCAGTGAGCCCGTTGCCGAAAGCTTTGAGCGCCAAAAGCGTCAGGGCTCCGAATGATTCGCACCTAGAGGAGACATTTGGGTGTGTCGTCTTTTTAGGAATTGGACCCCTCCAAATTGGCAGGCTTCGGTGTTCCGGTTGGTGTCCCTTTCAAGCCAGCCCAAACATGGGTACCGAACCTCAAAAAAACACAGACCCATTTGGTCGTGAACGACGGGCCTCGGCATGGTCAAGTCGGGCCCTTTGACATTTGGGGTGGCAAATGTGGTCATAGTATCCAGTGTTCTCTGCGTGTATGTGTAAATGTGTATATATATATATATATATATCTGGCAACAAAGATGTCAGTATGCATATTTGTCAAGGGGTAGCAGGTGGCTCTACCTACCAGATCGATGGGGTTCAAAGTTGCTACAGGAAACCTCCGCTCACCGGGAAGTCTGGCTAAAAAAAACAGGTACCCTGCCGCTAACATAGAACCTGACTGTAGCTCTTTTCTCTTGGACTCCAAAGAGCCCTGGAAACTGGCAGAAAGCGCTTGACTTGCAACTAAGGCAGGCAGAGCACTGGCCAATGAGAGCTTTGAGCGCTGATCGTTTGGCACTGCACTTCGCGAGTCTGGACCCTCAGAAAGGCGTGCACACGTTCCGTGTGAAAACGGCCAGGTGAGACAGGACGGGAGCAAAGGAAAACAGGACGCTGGCTGCTTCAGTTCGAAGGGAAACAAATATCATGCGTTGCTTGTTTTTCAAGGGAAAACAACATGGTGTTTGCATATACATTGGACGGCATCAATTGGAATGGCTCTGCTCAGTGTGTGTGTGTGTGTGCGTGATCACATGCGTGTTTGTTCCTTCATTTGTTCTAAAAAATAAACAAACCTTATGTGTGTTTCGTGCCGTTTTGGATGCCAAACACCAAAAGAGGTGCCTAATTCAGGAAACGCCCGCCATCTGTGTAAGCCACGGCCCGCACATAATCAGCTTTTTGGACGAGGCTGGCACATCCCTGCAGGCCAGGATAAGCCTACAAGCACCTTACACATATATCAGAATATATTGTGTTATATGTATTGACATACTATACGCATACATATATACATATGTATGTATGCATGCACGTCGCGTGCATGTATGTAATGTAATGTAATGCAATGCAATGTGATGTAATGTAATGTAATGTAATGTAATGTAATGTAATGTAATGCAAGGGAAGATAATGCAATAATGTAAGCTCATGTAGTGTAATGCAATGTAATGTAATGCATGTATTCACCCCATGATCAACACCTACAGTGCAACACACACACACACAAAGCATGGAGCATGGGGGGGCGTGAGCCTATGCATTTGCTTTATGTTGTACTTGTTTTCTTGTATTTATGTAGCGCATCGCCTTGGACCGTGCAACAGACAACCCCGAGTCTTCCTTTAGCTAAGCCCCTCTAATGTTGGCATCATAGTAATAAACCCCAGTGTATTACTAGCGGGGTTGTTCCACTCCAAAAGTGATGATTCCCCTGCACCCTATTGATAAACTGGTTGGTTGATTCATCGGGGAACAACATTACACACAAACCAACCGCCCAGGTTCTTCCATTTGCGTTTTTGCCGCCTGGAAAGAATGGACGGGTTTCACCGGCCCCCCCTATGGAAACCCACCACCCCCCCCCCGGCACTCGGGTTTTAACGGCCTGCACCGTTTTGACTTCGACTTCGCAGCCGGCCCCGCGGACTTCGGCGCAAGCGGCTCAGGCGGCTCAGGCGAGGCCGGTGGCCAAGCGCTGCAGCTCCGCCGCCACGGTGCCGGCCTCCTCGCTCCGAAACGAAAAACGCCCAGCCGGCCATGGCTCAAAGCACGTGGGCTGAGGACGTCTGACAGGTTTAAGCAATCTTAGGGTTATAGGGCCAAACTTTTAAGCAAGTTTGTTGGCTTAATGGTTTAAGGCCACTTTGAAAGGTGGAAGCAATCAAACTGGCCACGTTTGAAAGGTGGGAGTGATCGAACGGATGGAAAGCCACCAATCTTGCCGCTTTTGAAAGGTTTCGGCTATCAAAAGTTCAAGCCACCAAACTGGCCGCTTATATATGTTTAAGCAATGAAAAGGATTGAATCAAAGGATTGAAACACACAAGACTGACCACTTGAAAAGGTCTAGGCCGTCAAAAGGATTGACAACCACCAAACTGGCCGGGTTAGAAGACATAAGCAATGAAAAGGATCCTTCCGATTGCTTGAACCTTGTTTTAAAGTGGCCAGTTTTGCGGCGTTGAATTGACCAAACAAAACTGGTCATGGGACAAGCACGCTGCCTCTCTATTCAATCTCTCATTCTCCTTCCAACGGTTGAATGTCAAGACCCAAGAACGACAATGACAGAATAATATAGAAACGAAAACAATGCAGTAGAGCTCAAGCAAACGTAATAAAAAATCCAATCAAAATAGAATGAAATAACAGTAATTCAGAAGAAGGACACAGATGAGCATGAACTAATTGAAAGAAGCATATCAAACAATCGTGTATATATATATATATATATGGTCCCGTGTTCCGTGTTGCTACCCCCCCCCCCAGATGGCATGGGTCCCCCAGGACGCCCCCCCCCCCCCCCAACCCGAGACCCCGGAGCCCCCGGATCCTGGCACCTACGTTCCCACCCTCACCCCGACCCCCTAAACTCGCACCCCAACACCCCGGCACCCCGCCCCCAGGACAAGCCAACCCACAACCAACCATAAACCAACCCTAAACTAACCCTAAACCAACCCTAAATACACCCTAAACCAAACACTAAACTAAACCTTAAACCGTAAACCTCTAAACCTAAACCAACCCTAAATCAACATAAACCAACCCTAAACCAACCCTAAACTAACCCTAAATACACCCTAAATACACCCTAAACCAATCCCTAAACAATAAACCCTAAACCTAAACCAACCCTAAATACACCCTAAACCAACCCTAAATACACCCTAAACCAAACCCTAAACAATAAACCCTCAACCTAAACCAACCCTAAACCAACCTTAAATACACCCTAAACCAACCCTAAATACACCCTAAACCAAACCCTAAACTAAACCTTAAACCGTAAACCTCTAAACCTAAACCAACCCTAAATCAACATAAACCAACCCTAAACCAACCCTAAACCAACCCTAAATACACCCTAAATACACCCTAAATACACCCAATACACCCTAAACCTAAACCAACCCTAAACCAACCCTAAATACACCCTAAACCAACCCTAAATACACCCTAAACCAAACCTTAAACCAAACCCCAAACCGTAAACCTCTAAACCTAAACCACCCTAAACCAACCCTAAATCAACATAAACCAACCCTAAACAAACCCTAAACTAACCCTAAATACACCCTAAATACACCCTAAACCAATTCTAAACCAACCCTAAACCAACCCTAAACCACCACAACCCAACCACAGGACCACAACCACAGGGGGGGGGGGGTACTTGTCTGACCCATGACCATTGGGGGGGAGGGGGGGGGGGGCTGGCAACGCTGTACCATATATAGGTATTCGCTGTTGGAGTTGTAAACATGATTAAGATGTCACCATATGTGTATGGAATATGCACAAATGGTGACGTCTCAATCACGTCTACAACTCCAAAAGCGAAACACGTTGATAACAAAAATAAGATAAATGCATGTTAGACTAAAGCGATTCGTTCAATTGGTAATGCGAGTTAATCTAAGAGGACAAAATCAATGATACCATTGTGAAGAGCACAATGTACTCGTAAAGCTGCGATGTTAGTAAGCACGTGTCTTAGAGACATGGCATAATTAGACTAAACAGTACAATAATCCAAATACAATGCTTCTCCTGGCCACATCCTAAAGTTGAAGAAGATACTAACTGAAAGATGTCCGAACGAAGTGTACAATTAATGGCGCTTCAGAAACTAGAACACCTTCCAAGACGAAAATCACAATGTCCAATAAGAATGAACATGTGATTAGTTCAGTCTCCTTATACTTTTTCTAGACCAATTATGGAAACTGTGAATAAATACACAGCCCATGAGCGTATAAAAACATATTAATCTTTATGATAAGTCGATTCCAGTCCAACAATGAATATTAAATCCTATAGTCAACATGTTTGCAACTGAATGAAAGCGACACGAATCTGACGTACAACCACCAATATGTAACAATAGCAGAGATAATCAAACACGACTTGACCAGGCTCCTCAAAGGATGATTCAGCTTTACAAGGATTTGGATCCTCTAAAACAGCTTGCAAGGGGGACTGTTGAATTGGCACACATGTATGCTCTAGCGGACCCTGTTTAAGAGGCGTCCCTGCCACGCGGCCAACATGCCGCAACATTCTTGCAACAGTTGGAATTTCGCCTGCTTCACCTCGTTTCATGCCACTGTCAAAAAAGGGCTTTTGACCGAAACTCTACCAGGTCCACTATTTTAACACCCTTCCATGCAGGGACCAGCTACCGTTTTGGGGTCAACGGCACATCATCTGCAACCTCGAGAGAACCGGATGCCTATTCCTGGTGCTCCGAAACTCCCGAAAGAGACCAACCCTACGCCATCCGGCTGTCTGCTGGAAACTCAGAATTGGCCCGACAAGTTGTTGTTGTTGGCTTGAAAGGGGAACATACTGTGGATGGACGAAATCACCACCTAAGAAACCCTGGAATGTTGATTCCCCTGTAAATACCAACAAACCATGGTTTCCCATGGTTTCCAAGTGGTGCAGGATTTCGTCCATCCACAGTAGGGCAGCCTGTCCGAGACGTTGTTGTCGTCTTGAGAATTGGCTTGTGAGCCATGGAAGGCCATTGAGTCACTTGCTCAAAACCCGGTATCCAAATGGTCGTCCCAGATCCATGCTTCAAGAATTAAGAAGGCGGAGATCCGCAGCTATGGTTGGGAGTGTCCCTTGACCCTCATCTACCCGAATCGGTTTTGAGCAAGTGGCTCAATTGGGGTTTGCAAGTCCCTCTCTTTCTGAAGGCTAATCATCTTCTTTGTCGTCGGCTCCATTTTTTTTCCATGGGCTTTTCTGGGATAGCTTGGGAAAGCAAGCTAGCTGGGATACGCGGGAGGGGATGTCCAAGGATTCCCTGCAAAGGACACCATGCCGAAAAATTAAACACACAATATGCCCACATCCCTGCTTCCCCCGCATCTCTGCTTGTTGGTTTGTCTGAATATGCCCCCCTTCTTCATTTTTCCTGGAACTCCAAGGAGGTATGTGTGATGTTATCTACAAGATCGAGCCACACCGAGTTGCAAATCGTGGACGATTACAAGGTTGCACTTGTTCCCTAGCAAAAAGTTTAGCGCATCCACCGCAGGTCAGCTCGGCACCTTGTTTACCTTGTTTCCTTCGCCGGCAATCCACACGAAAAACAAACAGAACCAAAAGAAACAACCTGAGCCGAAACAAACAGGCACAAGTCCAGAATCTATCTGAATCTCAAGGTATACACTCATGCAAAAGAAGGCTTGGATGGAACCTGAGCCGAACATCCTTCGCAAGTTACCCCTTTTCTACTTACTGTTGACCCAGGATGAATAAACCCGTCCCATTATCAGCGGGGTGTTCCCTCCAAAAGTGGTCTGAATCCCCACTAAAAGGAATTGGACACCCCCCAATCAAAATCCACCAGGGGTTCTGCTTCATCCGGGGTTAACATTACCATTCGCATCCGTTTGCGTAACCCGTAACCGTGTCTCGTGACTTAACGGTCCTCGGCCAGCGTGTGTCTCTCTCGGTCCCAAGTCTCCTATCAGCTGGAAAAACCACAGGGCGGGTACCCTCCGCAGGGTCCGCTCAGTTGCTCAGTGACCCTGGAAAAAAGGGAACCAATTCTTTTTGGGGCTTGGACCATTTTTAGTGGGGCAGCCACCAAAAAAAGGGGAAAAATCATTGGTGCCACTGAACAACAGAGGTTCACGTTGCCATGGAACCTGACGTTTCCGCCTTTGAAAGACGATGTTCCGACCATTTCTCTGGTGGGTTCCATGATAGTGCACAAGAGGGCAACATTCTGAGAAAACAACAAACTCTTGAAATTTGGTGCATGTGACTTCCTATGACTTGTTTGCTGAACGAATCCAACTTGCCCCATTCTCTTAAAGCACTTGAGAGCAGGGCTCTGAGAAATGGCCGATTCTGTGATACAACAAGGGAAATGGCCAAAGACTAAGCCAGGGACATTCCCAAAAGTATCACAGGAGTGGGGTAAACGCCCTTGATCCCACAACCCTTGAGAGTAAACGGGAACCTCCCACTTTCATTCGCCATTCGCCTATGAGCCCAATAGGCCCAAACACACCAGTTTGAGCCCTGGAGGTTCGGTTGCATGGAGATACCTTAGCCACGCTGCGGTCAAACTATGCTGTTCTCATAGGGAACTTGGGGCAACAGCGTAGTGTGAATTTCTTGTTTCGGTCGGGGCTGTCCAAATCAGGCCGTCGATTTTCCCACATGGCCAAAACAGACATGACCAGAGTTGGTTGCAGGTGCTGCCCGGCTTGGCTTTTCCTAAGCCCACTGTGTCTCCAAAAAGAACACCACCTCATCTCGGTTGACGTTGGAAGGGGAGCTAAAATTTAAGTTTTGGCAGTTAGGTGGTTGGATTTCAACCACTCAACCACAAGAAACACAAAAATGTCTGAAACATGTTTCTCAACAGCAACCATGATATATTATCAAGGTGTGACAGCAAAATGGGAAAAATGTAAAACCCAACGACAACCAGCTCATGGGAACCTCTGGTATGAAGCCCTGAATCCAACTTGCATATGCCGAAGCCCCCTGGGCCGCGGGTCCCAAAGTTGGCGCCACTTCGTCTTCCAGGTGCTACGGAAACCACAGAAACTGTGTCTTCCAGTCGCCATATCCCATTAAAGGCTGAAGGGAGTAATAATAATAATAATAGTAAAATGGCTGGAAGTCGTGTGGCAAGTCAGGATGATAGTGTGGGTAAATCTATCGAAACGGGGACTTGCGACCTGGAACGGCGTGAAAAAGAGGTCCTTCCATTTTCCGTGGCATCACCCAATAGGAGCCTTTACAAATCAACAGAATCAAGAAAAGTTGGGAGGGTGGGCCCTCTGTGCAACATGGCCGCCAGGAGCGCTCAACATGGGACCGCTCAACATGGGACCCCTCAACATGGGACCCCTGGCCTTCGAGCAATACGGTGCATTTGCAGAAAGCGCAGTAAGGCGGTGGTTGGTAACAGGTTGAGCATCCAGGGATACCAGGCCTGCTCCACCTTCTCTTCCCTGATGTAGCCTGGACTCTGCGATGAAACGAAGTGGTGTTCAATATCCATTCTTGTTGACCCCGCATTAACGACCCCCTGCAATAGGGGGTGTCACTGGCTTTAGTCGGGAATCATCACTTTTGGAGTGGAACGCCCCCGTATTAATAAACAGGGGCTGATTAATCCAGGGGGTTAACATTACACACTCTGGACTGAGAGTCCTTTCAGACAACTACCAAACAGAGTCCAACTAGGTCCTCCAGTAGAGAGGTTAGAATAAGGGTACCAACTTTTTTCTGTAGTCTATTTTAGTAGGGGAACCCTCCCACAAAAAAGGGTAAAAGGGTAAAAGGGCACTACTGGGGGACCTAGCCAAAAAAATAGGGCTCTACTATCTTTCTCGACATATAGAATGAGACAACTACTTCCCCAGCAGCCAGGCTGTGTGACGCACCCGAAGATTTGGACACCTAAAGATAGAAGCATAATTTGGGGAGTCAGGAAGCCACAAGCTTTCGTGAGTTCCAAACCCACCAAACAAAAAGCGGTTTCAAATTCCAACCAAACCAATCCAGACCAACTAATCCGCTGGGTTGCCCTGGGTTGCTCTTCCGAAAAGGTTCCATCACCTCGCCATTTGGACCACCAATTAATCACCTTTGCTTTTTGCTTCCGCAAAAGTTCCATCACCTTCCGTAGGTTTGATGGAAACGCCATTTGGACCACCAATTCATCACCTTTGTTTTTTTCTTCCGCACAAGTTCCATCACCTTCCGCAGGTTTGATGGAAACCGAAGTTCCATTTGCGTCCAAAGATCTCTCCGCGATTCGGTCCAACCGAATGGCTCTGTTCTTGGTTGACGTTGGAAGGGCAGCAAAAAACAAAACAGTTAAGCGAGATTTCAACCACTAAACCACAATAAGCAAAACTGCAAAATGTTTCCCAAGAACAACCATGGACAAAAGGTGGCTCTTTCATTTGGACCTGTGGCATTTGGCTTCCACCAAGTGATCTTCTTTCTTTGCAGTTCCGTAAATGGTCCTGTCGCTTGGGGAACATGCCAGGAACCATGTGTTAATAAACATGTTGCATCCCAATCCCCGGTAAAATAGGTTCTACAATGGGTGGTGCAGCTACCAAAATGGAACCCTCCAGCGTCTCAGCTCCGCTCCCCTGCCTTCCAGCTCTCGCTCCTCGCTCTCCACCGCTCCCTGTAAGCTGCGGTTCGCCTGATGCATCCGGCGCTATGAGCCACCCGCACAAGGCGAACTGGGGGGAACTCCTTGGCCGGCTGCAAATGGCGAGTGCCAATGGAAAGTGCAGTTCCAGTCTTAAACGTCTTGGGGTGAATTCTGCGAATTCACAGCAAGAAAGTGCAATGATCCTTGTGAGGTGTTTTATTGATTCACCAAACTGTGTCAAAGGGACCCCAAGAAGAAAAAACATCCTCATGGGTGAATCAGACGCGAAAAAAAACAACTTGGCGAAGTTGCTCCAATCTGCGGGAGGGTTTAGACTGTGAACAAGGGACAAACTCTAGTTTCCGAATCGATCAAAAGGCTGTGGCCCAAAAAACCGGTACCCAAAATGGAATTTTGGTAAGTGGACATATGCACCAAGACCTGCGGTTTGCCCCTCCGATCGGTTAATTTTGAGCCACACCCAAAAGGTGTTCTCATTTTTCGCCAGTCACCTTGGCGCTCACGGCCTTCGGGTTCCAAATGCTTGCTGAGCCAACGGACTCCCCAGAGCCTTGGAGTCCATTCCTTAAGCGAACGCCCGGTTTGCTGCTCATGCATCCACGATGCATAATATGTACACTGTACACACATTGGATCCCAGCAGGGGTCGGTATATACATGTATACATATATATATATATGTATATATGTACACATCGTTTTAACTTGCGCACATTCTACCCTTTTATGGATCTAAATTGTTGCCAACATTGCTGGAAACTCTCGAAAGCAAGACAATCAGCATTGGTCTAAAAGGCGATGTTTCATTTAAGTCTCGTAAAAGGCCAACCAAAAGGACGGCAAGCACAAGGAGAGTCGGTGGGACACACAACATTTTAGCGCCCATATGGGCATGTATTGTTTCGAGGGTACCCTTCTTAAGTTGGGTTGAGGCTCAACTTATTTTGACACATACCCAAATGGAAACACACATGGGTGGGTATCAAAATCAGGGCATGTCATCATTGGATGGAATAAAGTAATCTTATTAAACAGGTCCCAAAGGACCCGCCTGTACAAAACAGTTTGAAAAGACTGGAATCCAGGAAACCAATCGTTTTGCACAACAAAGAAGCATGTTTATTATAGAGGACCCCACAGAAAACCGCAAAAGTTAATGAGCCCCCCCCCCAAAAAAAAGGAACTGGTGAAGCAGATGCTGCCCTTTTTCCTCTCCTCAAACTGCTATCCCCTGCTCCATTTGTTTTGGAATGCCAAAGCAAACAAAACTGCCAGCTTTGAACTAGCAGTGCAATTTCTTGCTTAGCTCCTTTTCCAAAAGTGATGGGTTGAGAAGGTCACATTACCCCACAGCAGTGCCCAGCCCGTACAAATAACATGGGTCCCCATAGACACAATTGGGGCCATCCGCGCCCACTTTTGCGCTCCAGAAATACAAAATCAAATGGAAACTCAAATGCAACAAAACTGAATCAAACAAATAGAAGCTCAAATCATATTCAAGAGAAAGCTCCAGCAACTAGATCACATAGAAAGTCAAGTCCCGCAATGCTACATTCAAGCGGATACTCACCATCTCAAAAGAAGCTCCAGCAATACTATCAAGTATGGAGACTCAAATCCCAAAATACAAAATCAAACAAATGGAAGTCAAATGGGGTTGTCCAACAATAAAGTTCCCAAAAACGATTCTTTTGCCGCGCTTTCGCAGCTCTTTCGCCCTCACAGGAATTCAATGGGTCGGCATCTATGTGTTTTCGTTTAGGTCTTCGAAACAAGCCTATAAGGGAAACCCACAAGAGACAAAAAGACGCAAAAAGACCCGCTGGGCGACGGGTGGTCACGGACAGGCTCGTCTTTCAAGGGAGTCATGAATCCAATGTCCACATTACACCGAAATGGCGGCGTTCATTTGGTTTCGACCTAACTGGGACGCCTCCAAACATCAGACCCAGTGCGACACCCCAAATGGAGCCCACATGACCACCGCCCGAAACCCATTGACTTTTAGTTCCAGCGTGGTCGTTAAGCCTTATGAAGTCCCTACTCACTTCCTGCAGGTCAGAAAAAGTAACCAAACTTTCTGCTTACCACCAAAATGGTCTGCCCAAAGAGGCTTTTAAAGTCCAGGAACTCAGGAAGTGAGGTTATGTATATATATATATATATATATAAATTTTACGGCGCCCTCGGCTTGCGCCTCCCGGTGCTTCTGCAACTCTTTGGCCAGCGCCCGGCCCAGCGACGCCAGGTGCGCCTCCGCCTCTCGGGCGGTCGGCTCGGGTCTGGGGGAGAAACGTGCGCCGTGCGCCGTGCGCCGTGCACCGATTCGGTGGATTCGGCTGCCCTGAATATTACAAGGGTACCTGGAGTCTCCACGACCCTTTAAGAATTCTGTCATTACCCAGAATAATGGGGTCATGGACCTATCTTTAAAAGGTCATGGAGACTCCAGGTTGTCGTCATTGAGTAGCCCAGTATATTACCCATGGTTGGGAACACCTGGGGCCACTGAAACACTGGGAAAGGGACGAAGTGCCAACGTTCCCTTTGATTTAAAAACCTACGTAGACGCCAACAAAGCCCTTGTTGGAATCTTCTTTTGGGGACGCCCCTTGCGGGTTCCGTGTTCATCTGGGGGAGTAAACCATGTCTCTAGGCTCCTCTCGCATTCTCTTCGCAATGGTTGTCTATCGCTTCATGTGGGCGTCTGTGGTATGAGTATTTGGCAGGGGCACCGACCCTTGGACGACGAATGCATCGTTCTACATCCAAAAGGTGACTACTGGTTTTCAAGCAGTTGCGTGCAAACAAAACAGTCCAGGGAGGAGTCGAGTTTTGTACTTTCAGCAATCTCCAAACGGTTGTTTGCTCTCTTTGCCAGCTGCAACACTAATTGCATGGTTGACGTTGGAAGGGGAGCAACAAATTAAATGTTAGCAATCCATCGGGGATTTCAACCACTAAACTGCAAGAAGCAAAAATGAAAAAAACAATCCCAACGACAACCATGATTGAAGGATAAGATCAGCCAAAGCCTGGCCTCAGATCCGGCCGGCCGAGCTGCCAGATTTTGCTTCTTGGCATGCTGTGGTTCCAAGGCTTCGCATCGTCACGTTTGCTTCAGTCTTGATCATTGTTTGCGGACACGGAACGTTTTGAGTCGAATGTTGCCGGCGCTCAGTAGAGAATGACCAGGCTTCGGCAATAAACCATTATTTTTGTATTCCCAAACAAAGGACACCCAATCGGGGATGGTTAAAAAGAACAGGGCCATGCCATGTCTCCTTCCCTGCCCCCTCGAACCTGCGAGAAACCCTCGGGAGGGAGAGGCGGCACCCGCCTCCTGCGCTTGGCGCATGCTCTCCGCCTCCTGCGCCTCGAGCATCATCTGAGCGGAGGGCGCCTCGCGCCAGGCCTGCGTCGCCTGGGATGGAGGAGCTGCCAGAACTGGGCCCAACTGGACGCACCGCGTGAGTCGCAATCAAAAACCAAACCCGGTGTTAAAATGGTCCTAATCCCCGAACCATGCTTCAAGAATTTAGAAGGCGGATATCCGCAGCTGTTTCTGGTTGGGATCGTCCCTTACTAAACTTCATCTACCCCGGGTTTGAGTGTGACTCACCTCGTATTTTCAGAGCCTCTTTCATACCTGGTCAGCCTTAGAATATGGCATACATTTTAAGCCTTAGCATATGACACATGTCGGAAGAGAGCCCAGAAGATGGGTTCCTGGATGAGTTGGGAACCCGAACGAACCAATGTTCCAACTGGCAGTGTCATTCAAGAGAGTCCGCTTGCATCTCATTCCCACAGGAAGAATTGGTGGCAACCTATGAATCAACCAGAGATCTATGAATGTAGGCGCTTCCCATCTTCTACCTCTTGCCCAACACAATTATGTGCTATTATTACAATGTGAACATAGTCCAAACGAGATCCCAACGCCAATCAAATGGATTGATGAGTGACCTCGTGCTTGTTACTTTGGGGTTATTGGGCAGCCCTTTGGAGTAATGGGTTGAGAAGTGACCGCATTTGGTTTGTTTTGGTGTTGTGTAACAGCGGGAGCCAAAGACAAGTTAGATCTCGTGTGCTTGACATCTTGCCCCCTCGGCTATGTCCACTCCTTTACGCGCAAACGGAAAGCCGAACGGCTTCTCCCCGTTGGAAGGAACCCTTTGTGCGTGGCAAACTCAAACCGATTGCCTCCTGGTCACCTTTACTCCTCGTTTTGACCCCCTGAGGCCCAGCAACATACATGAGGCGCAACAAGTTGAACATGTCCAAGCCGACGAACGTTTCTTGCCTCTGCCCCCTTGGCTCCCTACTGGCACTTCCCGTGTCCCGCCTCGTCCACGCTGGACTCCAACCAAAGAAGATCCGCATCGAACTGCTCCGCCTCCTTCAAGCATCTGGAAACGTGCCATGTGCCAGCCCCTTTTGTTTTTCATTCCTTTCCTACCTGAGCTGACAGACAGACAGACAGACAGACAGACAGACAGACAGACAGACTGACTGACTGACTGACTGACTGACTGACTGACTGACTCACTGACTCGCAGACTCACAGACTCACAGACTGACTGACAACTGTCTCCGACCCACAAAGGCAAACAATATAATGTGCAACTTGTGACACGAGCTGACAAACTGACTGACAAACTGGCTGGCTGACTGAATGACTAAATTTGCAATTTCTGCGGCCCCCGTGGAATTACTTTCGAGTGACCGCGTGGCCCTTCCTGCTTCCCTGCAAATCAAAACGGAACTAAAAACTAATGAGATGATAAAAGGACCTCCTGATCGCAAAAAGAACCCGGGGAAGCAACTGGCTGGTTGCCTAGCTGATTCGCTCACTGTCTCAGCAACTTCCTATATTCACCCCCAGAAGTTGGATGAACATGGATGAACCAAGCTGTCACAGCGCGTGGGTGTATCTCAAAATTGGAAGCCCCGCCAAGTGCTTAGTTCCTTCTTGGCTTCCTCGTGAAAAAAAGAAAAGCAACACAAACAGCAGAAGGGAGGGGCGTCCCTCATTGCGAGACAGACCCACAAGGAAGCAAACAAAGGGTCGCAGAGCGGACTTGCAATAGGAATGGGAAGCGACCAGGCATTTGTTGCTTCTTGGGTTGAAGACAAGACCAGGACTACTATGGCGATTACGGCTTGCAATATCCAACGCATGTTGCCTATTGGTTTTAAAGAAACAAGTGCAGTGCAAATCCCTGAGACAGTAAATCAAGGAATGTCAAAAACAAACACTTCAAGGAAACACAACAGTAAGTAACAAACTAACCAACTAAATGAATAAATAAAAAGACTTAATAAATGCGCACATGCAACAATAAAACAATGAATCTTCTTTTTTTTACAAACACACACACACACACACACATAAGCCACCAAACAAAACAAGGCATAACTAAACCAATCAACCAAACATGCACAATTAACTAACCAGTTCATGGAGCCATACAAAGATACATCCGTAAAGGAACCTGAACACGGGGGTGACGGGTCACGTGTAGTCTGGCTCCTGTGCGCTGGTAACGTGGATGTGCATTTCGAAACAAGCGCCGTGGGCTGTTTTAGAGGAGAACCTGCCTGGAGATGAAATCCCAAAGAGGCCTATTTTGACCGCAAGAGAACTCTGGCAGCACGGTGACTTTTTGCTTGGGTCATGTCTGAAACGATCAGTGCTCAGCCTCACCTCCTTGGAACACAAATAGAGAAGACACTCCACTGGAGCCCTTTGCAATACCATGTTCTTTGTCAAGGGCTCTTTACTCACATCCTGAGAGGACTCGCCAAACATGTCTAGCATTTTGTCCACTACAAGTGTCTTCACCAAAACACATTTACCGGCCGGACACTGTGTGAATGAGTCACGGAATCCAGGCTTGCGCCCTTAGGAACTTCCTAACTTTGGTGCATCTGCCCCCTTGCCCACTCTAGAAAACCTTAATGTAGAAGAAACGTGATCTTCAAGCATACAGACCCGGAACTCTGGAATCAGAGAGAAAGGTTCCTGAAAAATGAACATGAGCAGCACTGGACGAGCGTGTCAAATTAAGCCGGTAGTAAACTGGTCGAGAGGCAAAACAGCTGAGTTGTGAGAAAGCTGGGCTGCCTTGAAAACTGTAGCGGTCCTTGGAATTGCATGTGCACACATGTCTCTGTGTGCAGTCGCCTGAGCCGCCAATTCAGAAGTGATCTCAAACTTGACAACGTGCCAAAACGAGTGGGACCCTTGCGGGACGCTTCAAGAAAACCAGCACGAAAAAACCGGCCATCTGGAGGGCTGCGTAGTTTTAATCCATGTCTACAAGCTCCAATGGGTGATCTACATATTGCAAGTAGGGGAACAAGGGAAACCCAGGAAGGTTGCAAACTTATCAGGGTGGTGTGGTCCAATGTGGTTGGTTCTCTATGTGACCCCAAGCCTCACTTAGAAGGAAGCAGACTCCATTTAACTGTCTTCATGACCCTTTAAATACGGAGACATAACCCCAAAATTATGGGTACATTGTGCCAATACTTAAGAGCTATGAAGGCTCCAGGTGTGCAAAAACGGACAACATGTAATTAGTTGATGCTGGTTGAGAGAACATGGGTGTCATTTTGAGAAACAACTACGCAAATTCAACAATCATTTCCAACAGATCTCCGAAGGACCTTCATCATGAGCTCGTGTTTACCCCGGATCGGTGGGCTCGCCTTAAACTTGGTTGACGTTGGAAGGGGAGCAACAAATTGAACTTAGCAATTAAGTGGGGATTTCCCACTAAACTGCAACAAGCAAAAATGTAAAATGTTTCCCAACGACAACCATGCATGGGCAAGTGGATCCCAAGATCTTGCTCCCGCCCTTGCAGCCCGTCCTTCTGAAGCTGGTGCTTCTCCTGGGAAAGCACCAAGCTGGGCTGGTCCCAAGCCTCTAAACTACAAATTCAACCAATCAGGAGACCGCTGAAGAATCAGAACCCGACACTTAGTAAAATGTTGCGGCCCGTGTTGGCAAATGCCCACGGGGTTGTAGCGAAGCAGGTCATCTCATCTGCCTTAACACGGGTTCGCCAAGCACTTTTGTTGCGAGGGGGGGGGGGTCCTGTAAATCCAGAAAGCAGGTCAAAAGAAGAACTCTGCTTCCAGCCTTCTGATTTCCAATGTTTTTGGGGAGAGCTTTATGAACGACCAAAAAACATATCAAAAAATCAATGCTTGCTTCCAGCATGTCCAAGGTTGCCCAAGATGTGTGCTGTGTGTTACAGTGTTTTTGAGGCTACTTGATTTCCAAAACTGATTCAGAATCTGGAAGTTCATGGCCTATCATGTTCCATAGCCACCAAAGTCAACCGCACCGGTTTTCGTGCTCCGACATCTGCAGATGTTCCAAGATGCATATCTCCTTCTACCTAAAAGCAGGAGGGAGCTTGGAGTAGGTATCTTATTTGACAATTGTGGGTTTCCTGTTGGAGGTAAGCTGATGTACTTGGGCAACTTCAATTGCGAACTAGGGGCTTTGACTTGTGGAAGGCTTCCTTCATGGCCAAGCTTCCTACTTTGGGAATCCTTACTTCAGGTATTTGAGTTTCCCCTTGGCCCTTTTTCCCCATTATTTTCAACCATCGTTCCATTAAAAAACCATCCCATTTCCAGAAAGAAGGATCCCTGGAAAGAATGAGGAAGCTAGAGTTTTGACTGGGCGAAACGAAGCGACAGCGCAAAACGGGCCTCTTGGAGGGCCTCCTCCAGGTCTTGGGCCGCCTCCTCCTGGAGCCACAAGCCGAAGCTATGCTTTTCACGACGAAAAGTGCAGACCCTCCCAGCATGGAGTCCTCGTTTGGTTTCCATTTAAAACCATTCAAAGGGCATTTTCTCATTTAAGATCACTCAAAGGGTATTTTCAAGAAGATACTCCCATCTACGCCAACGCAATGGGAAACGGTCGTGGCCCTTGCTGCTGCATGGCTCCAAAAGCGCTGGTCACTGGCTATATACATTCAACTCCAAGTGAAGCCAGCGCAACGCAACCTAAAAGTGACCAGTGGCGTTTTTCGGGGCCATCAAGCCCCAAAACCCCGCGCCCTCCGTCGGCACAGTGATCAGTTCAGCGTGAAGCCCTGAGCGTCCGCCTCAGACATTTTTTGCCCTCTCACTCTATGTGGCTACGCCTAAAGACTCGTCCACCCTGAGCCCCTACCAATCGGAAAGAAAGCTGGCACGAAGCTCAGCTCGAGTCGGAGCTGCGCGTGTCCAGGATTGTCATGAAGAAATGGCTCAAGCAAAGGTCACACTTTTACTCATTACATGTTCTGTTCGCTCGAGAGACGCCACCAGGAGTCGTCCTTCTGAGTGGCAATTGCAGAAAGGCACTTTTGCGGCAACGCCGCGATCCGGTGCCCGGAAATGCGCCGGATTCTGGGACAGCGTGCGTGGGAAACTACCGGGTGAAAACTTTCGCAACTTGCCGCTTGCTCTCTTTGCCGCTTTTGTTCAATTTTCCAGGTTGGTGGCGAAGCGAGCGAGATGGTCAGCAAGGGCGGGCAGGCCTGTCATACAGATTGCTCGCGTTGCGGAGGCTGTGCCAGGACGAGAAGTTTTCTCCGTGGCACTATCCAGGCTGCAAAAATACCTCAAGATTTCACTGGCAGAAAACGTTTAAAATTGATCTGGCGAACTTGAGTTGAGCGTGGGAGGAGCAGCCGGCTTCGCGTACGTTTTTACTTCACGCAGCGGGACGCGATTCCGTTCCGCGCGTGTCTTCTTGAAACCTTCGTGCGCGCCAAACATCTTCTTTGAGGGCCGCTCTGCAAGGGCATCGTTCCATTCCTTAGCGTTGGCGTTCTCTCCACTGGCGTTAGCGTTCGTCCTGTGCTACGTGCACAAACGCACGGGTGGTTTGAACACTGTACATGCGAAGCCTGCCGCGCAAAGCAGGCTGCTGAAACTGCAAATCAGAACAAGCGGGCCAGGCCGAGCCAGTGACCTCCCAGCCGTGCTTGCGAGAGCTTTTTGCAGCCCCCAAAACCAACAAAAACAAGGTTCCTTTTTGTTCCTTCCTGGCCACTGAACATCCGAGGGTGAGGGACATGAACCGCCGCGGTTGAATGCCCCAAGAAGGGCGCCGGAAGTTCCACAGTCAAACATTTTTGCCACAGTCAGTTGAATCACATTTGCAACAGAAGTGCTCAAGTGCACGCAGCGCCCGCCAACGCAGACGTATGCAGATTTACCCGATCTCGCAGAAGCAAACGCAGCAAGAGCAGTTGCCGGCGCTGCCCCTCATCCTCATGAAGGATCGGAAGTGATGCCGTCAAGCAATGCCCACTGCTACCAGAGGCAATGCCAACGTGAGAGGAGGAACAACCAGACGCATGGTCAGCGCCGTGCTGATGCCACCCAAGCTTTGACCATGCGCGTCGGCGCGGGCTGAGACACAAGCTGGGTGGCCGGAACTGTGCTGCCCCTGAGTTTGCTCCTCCGCTTGACGCTGCTGATGCAAAGTGGGTGGCAAGGTGCGTGGCCAGTTCGGCGCAGGCTCCTCTGGTTGCTGCTGCTGACGCAAGGCGGGTGGCTGGTTTTTGCGCATGCTCCTCTGGTTGCTGCTGATGCAAGGTGGGTGGCCGGTTCTGCGCAGGCTCCTCTTGTTCCTGCTGCTGACGCAAGGTGGGTGGCTGGTTTTGCGCGTGCTCCTCTGGCTGCTGCTGATGCCAGGTGGGTGGCCGGTTCTGCGCAGGCCCCTCTGGTTGCTGCTGCTGACGCAAGGTGGGTGGCTGGTGTTGCGCATGCTCCTCGAGCAAAAAACCTCCATACAAACTTCGAACACTAATTTAGTGTTGCTCCATACAAACTCCATACAAACTAGTTTTGTGGTTTGTGTGGAGTTTGTATGGATGAGGTCCATACAAACTAGTTTGTATGGACGTCCCAGTTTAAAAGCTCCATACATACTCCACACAAACAGTTTGTATGGAAGCACAGCTGGGTGTCTGGCTTCCTTCAGAGCCTGTCAAACACCAGATGTGGCGCAAAGGAAGCACACAATACAGGTTGAGCGGAACAGTGTCAGCAGCAACAGGTAGGCACAATTCCGCCATGTGAACCATGGGCCTCGCCATCTTTGATGCGGCGACGCATCCTCCGCGAGTTGTCCTGCCACAGACCCATCAAAAAAAGAGAAAAAAACAAAAACGTGCCTGTGGAGCAGTCGTCGGCTACCGAAGCAGCACATTTGGAGGACAGCCGCCCACCTCGCCGCCTCGCCTCTGGGGTTCTCGGTTGAGGGATGCCACGTAGCAGCTCCTGACACACGAAATCATCACAGAAGACATGGGACGGCGATAGTTTGTGGTTGAGATGGGGATGGTGTGCGGGTGGCCATGGTCGCACCTGTCATGGGCCCACCGACCATGAAGCGTGGCAGAATTTGAGGAAGCCTCTGGGGTGGGTTAAGCCTCCTCGCGGGCCACCAGCAGATGGAATGTGCTGGGTGCCTCCTCTGGAGATGGCATAAATGCACAGGCGAACCGGTGATGGATCTGGAGTTGACCCTGTGAGAACACTCACGATCGCGCCTCTGGAGTCGATGACCCTGATGAAGGAAGATGCCAATTCTCATAATCAGTTGCGGGACACAGCCCAACTGACAACATGTCAAATGTCAAGACAGACCAGTGGCCTCAGGGCCCAAGTCAATGGCGCAGTGAGAGCCAACCTGCGCTGGCCAGAATGACCAAGTTTTTAGTGTGAGCAGTCCTGCCTCTGGGTCAAGGTCAAAACAATCAGGGTCCAAGTCAATGGCACAAGAGCCAACCTGCACTGGCCAGAAGGCCAACTTCCCACTGTGACCAGTACTCAAGGTCAATGGTGATGCGCACGAGCAAACCTGATGATCGGCCACTTCACATGGAATTTCCCAATTCGGTTTGCACCCCATGAGCTGCTGGATCAATGAGAAAAAGCACATGGGCGACATCAAAACACACCAGCTAATGGCCTCAGGGTCCAGGTCCATACCACACAAGAGCCAACCTGCACTGACCAGCCGGCTCAGGCTGGTCCAGTTCTTGCTCAGCACGGCTGAGACGAAGCCGCAAGTGACAGCGCGCGAGCTTTTTGTGAGAAATCTCACAAAAAATGGGGGCCCAGGCATGGGTCTTTGCCACTGGCGACCATGGCGTCAGTCCTTCTGCCGTAGTGCCAAACTCGCAAGCTCGCGACTTGCGCCTTGCGTGGGGTTCAGGCACCAGATGCCACACATAGTTTACGCCCCTTCCCCTGATTGCAAGCTGATTGACAGTGACTGGTGGCCTGCTCGTCAGGTTCTGAGCACCGTTTTCTTTTGCGAATCAATCGGGCCCCTCCAGTCGCATTGAGCCACATCCTGAACGTGTCATGATGTGCTACGTCGTATCGTTTTCCTTACGCGACAGATGTGGAAGCTTTGCTTACGCCGCCAGCTTACGCCACCTTACGCGCGTGGAGTTTTTGTTTACGCACAGGTCGATATGACACGACTCTTAATTAAACATGCCCAATCAGGTTTTTGGACGCCGCTCCATTTGCACCCAACACTGGGCTCAACGCCGCAGTCTTCGGCGGCTCAAATCAGGGGACGCTGAAATTATCCAGGCAAAAGGACAGAACTATGCCAAACTCCCCCACCTCATGAGCAACTCTGACACCTCCCCGACCAAATGAGCAACAAAACTTAAACAGGTTGCTGCAAGTTCATGTTTCAAGCTCAAGCGAAGCCTCTGCAAGTTTTCATGCGCAAGCTTAGCATCATGCTTTACAACCTCTCCTGTCAACTTCTGTTACGCCAGATGCTGTGAATGAAAGCTGTACGTGATGCTGCGCGTGACGCTGCGCCTTTATGTTGCGTGCGCAACTGCGGAAGCGGGTCGAGCCCGCGCCATCCGTGACTGAGAAAGCAGGCTCTCAAACGACGAGACAACCTCCACACACACGCACACACACAAGTTTGCCTGCGAAGAAAACAGCAAACATCGCATGATGGCCACAGCGACACCCGCTTCGACACGCGCGATCTCCGCAGAGCGTTTGCCGAGACCTAGAGACATTCGCGCGGCGCCTTGGACGCGCACGATCGCTGCAGAGGGTGCGCTTTCAGCGTGCGATGCTTGCAGATGAATCGTGCGCCTGATACGAAGCTTCGTGTTCTGGGCCTTTTGCCCGGGCGCGAATTCTCTATCCGGGCAAAAGGCCCAGGAGTGAAGTTTCATGCATGACACGGACGCTACAGACCGCGTTTTGAGCCCATCAAAACAGAGCTTCTTACCAAGTTAACAAAGGCCTAAACCGATCGCCCTAAAGGGCCTGCATCACGTGAGTGAGCACTCCGGCCCCTGATCCTGCAAATACAGAAGAAAAACAATCCATCTGGAGGTCCCCGTGTTGTTTTTCTAGAGCCATGCCCTCTCCTCCGCCCAGGCATCTTGCACCCGAGCTTCTACCTGGCGCAGGATTGGGCTTCGATGTTGGCATATTCCCGGTTCTTTCAGGCAAAAGTGGCTAACCAGACACAGTCAAATGAATTCATCACGTGCAACCTAGAGAACAAAATGCCAAAGGCTTGCCTAGCATAGGAGCGAAACGCGCGCTTGAGGGAGCCCTTTTCTGGGGGCTGGGCGTTGGCCATTCAGCTTGCGGTGAGACAAACCAAACGCCCGGAAGCACTGGAAGCACACCTCGGCGTCAGCGCGCTGCCAGTCGGCGGTGCGCTTAGAGCGGAGCTCTTGCTGAAGCCGCACCTGTCGAATCGGACAGTGTTTCTCAAAATGGAGGAAGAGCCCTCACTGCCCGAGTGGATGGTCCAAAACAAGTCCAAACTTTTACCAGTACAATGGTCTTCCCAAAAAGTTTAAAGTACATTCACTCAGGAAGTGAGAACCCCTTTGGGTCAGCAATCAATCAGAAGCCGAAAGGAGAACCATTTTAAGGGGACCACTATCCTGAAAACTCCAGGTGTCAAGGCGGTCTGCCCCAACCTGCACTATCTGGGACCGAACTGAAGGCAGACATCTGCGCCTGTTTTTGTGGCTGGGACCCTCTCCGAATCTTCCCTTTTGGTGTTGATTGCTCAGGTACGCCACATTCTTTGCAGCCCTTTTGCCCCTACCAAGGGACCCCCCAAAAAAAAGCACAACAAATGCCTCAAGTGCCTGAGTTTTTCTAGGCCGAGAAAGGCTCCCACAATTTGTCACAGCATGTCCCTTCCAAACTTCAAAGGCGTGTTCCTTTCGAGCTCTAACTGATAATAACCAACTTTTGTTCACCAAACAATGGCCACCTAAAACCAGAAGTTCGAGCTGGGCACACTGCCCACTTAAGTCGTTTGCGATAATTGTTTAGTGTGTTTCCTAATTATTCTTTCCAGGCATCCTTCATCAACCGCAAATAACTCAGGACCATCCAAGAAAAGGGACCTTCATCTTTTTCACCCCGAGGCAGCGAGCTGATCAAAACCGAATGCCTGAAAAGGGACCTTCATGGGGGGACATAGGTCAGCCTTGCATGTGAGACAACAGCAACAATTATGGCCAAGATTCCTTCCCAGGACAGATTGGCAGCGGGGGGGAGCAAACTGTCACTGGATCTGGGGTTCCCCCTTCCAAAGCTGATCACTTTGCCAGTGCATTCCAGCGCTTTGTTGCCACTTTCGGCAACAAGCATTTCTAAGAGAACACACCCAGTCTGACCCGACGCTCATGAGGGCACTAGCTCACTTTACCCCACGCTCACAGGTCCTCGCTAAAACCGTGCAAACGGCAGTTTTCGCGCAACAACAAAGCTTGAAACATAGTTCCGGTCCACGGCAAATATGTTCAACAATATATTTGGCGAACCTGGAAGTGCGGACAAATACAACAACCCATTTGTTGAACAACATCCTGTTTGTTTTTTGGTGAACCTTGAAGCTGTGTAAGCAAAACAGCAAAGCCACACAACTCCAAGCCGTCATGGTTTGCCACGGTCCAAGCCAGTACACTGCCCAAAAACTCAGGGAGCAGGGCTACCTACTAGAGTGACAATTTGAAGTACTGGTTGGGGGGGTCGGGTTTGATTTGGAGGGTTTTGTATCTTGTATTTAGAGTTAGTTTTTTGTTTTGGGGTTGGTATGGGCGGCTTTGCTGGCCTTGGAGTGTTTTGCTCCAACAGCGTTGTGGCTTCTTTGTTGGCACTCGGGGTGGTGCACTCTTGAATCTGCATTGGGCTTTCGGCCGAGAAAAGAAAGCTGCCGAAAAAAAGACGAGCCTTCTCTTGGAGCGTCTGGGTCTCCCGCTGCACCGCGTCCTGCGTCGGTTCCACAATGAAAAACCGGGCACAGAAAAGGTGGGAAAAGCCGCTGCTGTTAGCACAAAAAAGCAACGCATCGGGGCAAAAAGTGATTGTTGAAGCAACAACCGGTGGAAATGAACTGCGATTCAAAAAACAGCATACAAGTGGAAAACGGTTGCTTGTTTGCCGATTCAAAGCACGACAACGCAACAACGCATCCGCAAAATGAACCAAACGAAGCCGAGTTTGTCACGTCATTTGAAAGGGAACCCTTCAAAAAACAGGGAAGGAAGCATGGCATGTGTTGAATTCAGCGACTGTTGTAATTGCCAACTTGGGCCTGACAAACATACAACATGTTGGAACAATTTGGAATACAGACCTACACTCGGTCTCTCCTAAAAGGCTGTGCTGGGTCTGCCCAGATAAGCTCCGGAGTGGTTCGGAACGGCGGAACGGTTGGGATTTCGGAAGGGTTCCGAGGGCTGCTGGAGCTTCTAGTTGCAAGGGTGGCTAGATGTGAAGCAGAATCTTACTGGGGTACAAGGTCCTTGCTTTTGACAATGCGCGCTCATACTATAGGGAAGCAGTCTAAGCTCGGAAAGGATAGCTCCGCCCCGCCCAGTGACCTGAGTAAGGGGACCATTTATGGCGTTGACCAGAGCCAGAGCCCAAAGAAAGCTGCGTCTACACTCCTTTCCCTCAAGAACCGCCTGAGCCCAAGGGTTGACTTTTTCGCGAAGCACGAGCTCACTGCCCAGACTCTGGGGTAGAAAAGCTGGCTGATGAAAGGAAGCCATAAAAGAAAGAGGAAAACCAACAAGCCTTCTACCCAGGTCATCTTGGGCCCTCCGCTGGGATCCCACGGCTCAACCGCCAGAGTCCGGCCGTTCGCGGGACCGTCCCAAGAACAACCCAAGCAAATGACTGGAAACCAAGGGGGTTTCCCCAGAAAGGTTTCTGGCTGTTAGGTGCCCAACATGGAACCCTGGTAAATGGAATGGACTAAAACCTGCGGTCCAAGAGGGTCAGAAAACTTTGACCCATACCCATGTCTGCTTAGCCTTCAAATAAAACAAAGTTTTCTGAGACGCCCCCGCAGAGTACCCTTCTGGGAAATCCAAACCCAAGAAAACCGCCCAGCAACGTTTCTGTCCATCTTCTGGTCAGCTCGCTGGAAATCCGCGGCGGTCTTGGCCGCCCAGTCCTGTCGGCGGCAAATGAGCCCAAGGAGACTCCGAGCCAAAGTGTTCCATTCAGTGGCTCATTAAAAACAAAAACAAAAAACACAAGCTAGGGTTCATACCAGGGGTTCATATTGGGTGTGCATTTAATCTTTGACACTTGGTAGGCTGTGACCCCAACTACACTGCGAGTGGAACCTAGTTGCTTATTACAGCTACTTGGTGGGTCAAACATCTAATAACCCGCACCCCTCCATTTGCTTGAGGAACCGCGTACTTAGAATTCCCGGCAACCATGTCAAGTCATGACCAAATATGGTTGAAGTGATAAAGTGAGAAACAAAACAGCACTTACATGGCTGTGGGTCAAAACTGTTTTGGGATCCCATTTTGGTTGGTAGGTGAATTCACCACCCATTTTAGAACCTTTTTTAGTGGTTGGATTGAATCGGATGTTCACTGGGGGCTAACCGATTTGGATTTTGAAAAGCCCACGGCCAGAGCCACCCTGGGCGCACCTTTCTCTTTTCAGGTCGTGGCACCCGCCCACCGCTGGTTTCTTTGCTCCCCTTCAAAAGCTCCCGAAAAGGACCAATGGCGCTCGACCAAAGCTTGGCCCAGGCCTTTGGATCCGTCCGGCGGAAGGGTTTCCACGGAACGCGAAGAGGACACCCACGTTTTGCCGGGTCAAGATAGAAAACCACACACCCCAGCCGGTCAAAAACAAGCGGGGATTCAAGCTAGAAAAACCACATGCCACACCCCAACTGGTCCAAAACAACAAATAAGTGCAAATAGATCTCCATGTGCACATAAATTGCAAGCCTGTAGACGTAGCAGGCTACAACTATGCCTATCTGGGCCCAGCTGAGCTTGCGCCCCACTTGCGAACACCCGCAATTCTCAACCTTGAGAAGGGTACCAACTCCACAACAAGTCATGCTCTACTGATTCAGTGGGTTCTTCATTTCCTTGGATTCACTTTCCGGACAAATGATTGGGAGCAAATCTAAATCCAAGGAGATCCTCCAAATCCACCAGCTGCTTCTGCAGCCTGTGCGCGCGCTTCGGATGTCAATCGGGGAACAAAAACAGCCAAGTTGATTGAAGTTTGGCTGAACCTGAAGGCCAAACTGAGGAACGAACAACGAAAGGTCAATGTCCTTCGGACGAAGATGTGAACATCCGTTTGTTTGTTTGTTTGTTTGCTTGTTTGAGCTGCCCACCCTCCCAACTTGGAACCGGAAGAGGTCTGTCAGTAGGGAATTCAATTTTGGAGGCTTGAAGAAAAGGGCCACGACCCTGGCCACGCCAGGCTCCCCACCCCATTCCATATTCGACAACCCGATTTGTTTTGCGGTGTTCCAAAGACCTTGGTACATGTGTTTACCGATTGCCACCGGTTCATCCACTTAAACATCACGATGCAATAGAGTTGGACCACCTCAAAGCGCAAACACCCAACAAAGCTAGCCCAACTTCAGGCCAAATGGGTCAAAGCAAACATGTTGAACGCCACAAGGCAAGAATGCATCCCCCGCTGGACGTTCGATGTTTGCGAGGCTTGCTGCCCAGTTGGCCGTGGGTCAAAAGCCAAATCGTACGACCAACATGGGTGGTGCACCTACCAACCAAAACGGGATCCCAAAACGGTTTTGACCACCACAGCCAGTTGACAACCACCCCGAAGGCTTGTCCAACAGCATATCCCAGCTTGCTAGACCTATCAGGCTACACTTCCCAACCCGTATACGTAGGTTAGCCACACACTGAGTGTTTGAGCGCGGGCTGAACGGTTGGCCCGGTCTCTTTTCCACTAGTGAGAAGGAAACAAATGAATCCTCGAGGCTAGAAATCCAACAGTCCCTGTTCTCAAGTCGACTGGAAACTGACTGTGGGATAGCTCCCCAGCATGGGATGTTCAACCTCAGTTGCATCCACTCAGTTGCCCTTTTGGGACCTGGAACTAGGTTAACCTTTGAGACTAAAAACAAAAACAAAAAACAATATGGGTGTGGCTCAAAATTAAACAGGAGGGGCAAACCGCAGGTTTTGGTCCATGTTTCCACTTACCAGGGCTTGCGCCATTTTGGAATTCTGTTTTTTTGAGCCACGGCCATATGGGAACACCGTTCAGGTTGTCCAAAGGTCGCTTCGCTTTGAACGGCTGAGTTAGTTACCACCTCGGAGCCCAGGATCGCTTTGACACCGTGGGATTGCCGGAAACAAACGAAAAGTGACTGGCCCCAACAGTTCGGGCATTCCAAGCTACAACCCTACAAACCACCACATAGAAACAACCACGTGCCTCAAAACTGACAAAACAAACCCAAGTTAAATGTGCGTGTGTTGTTGCCCTGCTTCGAATTTAAACCTACCCCGCTAAACCCGACAACAACAAAAAAAAACTCAAAATGCCCCACGCGCACACAGGCGGGGGAGCCTCTGAGGCTCCTCCGCCTGAGACAAGCTCTCCGCCGCAAAGCGCTCCTGACGCAATTTCAAGGTGCCATCAACTCGGATGCCCAGTGGATTTCCATGGGATTTCCATGGGACAACAAGGGCATCTGAGTTGATTGATGATGGGAGTTTGTGGAGAATGTCCATGGAAAAAGGCATTTGTGGTTGGGTCCGCCACATTGCTCAAGACCCCACCCACCCACCCCCAATTGGAGTGAGTGGAGCCCACATCCCGGCCGAAGCCAAAAGTCAGGCTATCCCGCTAAGGGGAGGGGCAAAGTATGAACTAAATCAATAGGCAGGAGGATGTGGTCAGCATCCTCTTGTGGCTGGTTGAATTTGAAGGGAACCCTTCCCCAAAAAGGCAAAAAAAAACTGGGTCAAAGACACCATTGGACCCGCGCGAAGAAAACTGGGCTGCCCAAGCTGATCCCGCTGAAGGTGGAACACTTTTTAGATCTTTTTAGTGGGTTGAATGTAAACCATCTCAAAGACACCCTCAGAGGACAAAACCACATGGCGTCAAAAAGGAACCCTCAATCAAGGACGTCCTCGTTGATGAGAGCTTGACACTTGCTGCTTGCTTCGTACATAATCGGAAAACATCGTCGACAGCAGATTGTGACAAAAACAAACTGCCTCGATCTCATGATGACACCACTGCCATGGCACGAACCATGGCAGAGCCTTCCCTGTATCTTCCATGACGTAGCCTATGCCGTAAGGTGCACCAAATGGCAACCCTTTGGCTAGCAAAACTTTAAGACTACCTCAACAACCAACGCATATGATTGATTCCGACCCAGATTTAGTGAGCCTTAAACACATGTTGACCTGACTTGAACAAGGGGAGTAGAATCAATTGGATCAAGGGGAGCTTCCGAACATGGCGGACCCCAAAATAAGTTGGTATTTGAAGGGAACATAAAAAGCTCTATTTTGAGAAACAGCCCACATCCCAGAACAATGTAAGGTGGCACCTGTCATTCGTCGAGACCCACAAAGGGGGGCCCAAGCTGATACGTCTCCCGCGGGGTCCCGCGGAAGACTATGTACTACCAACTCACCTGTCGCAGCGAAAAGGGGAGAACCGTAGTAGCCTTGTTTTGCCTGGTTGAACCTACAAGGAAGAAACAAAACAATGGGTGCTGGCTTCTTCAAATCGAAGGGAAACGCAGCCCATTCCCACACACGCCTGGGAACTAACATAGACACGCACACATTATATTGAATAGCCCTTGCGCCCACAAAAAATGGCATTGTACTTAGAGGGTTGCTTTGGGAAGTACGCCCCTCTCTTCCGTATACTACTGAGTGGGGATAACACACTGTTCTCGTCGCAAGCCTCTTACCTACCACAGAACCAAATTATCATTCGTGTTGGAAGAGCTCGGCACGAAGTACCACATACAGTTGGAATCCTTGGTGGTCAAGTCGCGAACCCATCAAAGAAGGGAAAAGCCCGGAATCCAGTTGAAACAGCGGGGGGAACAAATGGGAATCAAGTTGGAGGAATGGATTTGGGTGCCACCAGGAACAACAAGCAGAAACACCAGCCCGCGGACACGCCTCAGCCTCTGTGTCGGACAGCCGGGTCCGGAGCTCCAAGTGCTCACGCCGCACCGCTGCGAGCCTTTGCTGCTCCTCCTGCGAGGCCAATCGATGCGACAACCTCAACTGATATGACTGCGGGTCCACTATAGGGTAAACCTCAAATGGAAGCCTGATAAAAGGAAAACCTGCGGTTCCCTGGTAGTTCATTTTTTGACCCATACCCATATTGCGACTGTACCAGTGTCTTTGAGCATCGCTCCATTGAACCTTAGGGCTTATCCTGCAAAGGATAGAATGGGAGGAACCCAAAGATTCGGATGGAGTAGTCCCGAAAACAGGGATTTACCGTGGAAAACCTGGTCTCCAAATACCCTGAAGGATTGTGCCCATGAATTCGAACAGTTGACGCTTCTACTTCGACCCCGAACCGGTTGTTGGGCCACCATGTTAGCATCCATGGGCCTAAACGGTTTCATAGCCGCGAAGGCTAGCATTGGCCCTGTTGAAGCTGTTGGTTTCTGAGGAACTGCATTGAGCTACTGTATGTATGTCGGAAAAATGATAAACCGAAAGGTAAAGTGGGGCTCAAAAAATGGCCGTGGGTTGGACATACAGGGTCCACGCACTGCAAGATTTCGAGTGTTTACAAAGCAAAAGGAAACCACGGGGAGTAATATGTAAACATGCCCATTGCTGGAAGTGCACTTGTCGGTGGATTGTTTACTGTAGGGGATAGGCAATCTTTGTCTAGCTGTGATGCACTGGTTCCAACATACCTAAGGCACATAGCTAATCCCAAGCAGCCGGCTGTAACCATCTGAAAACTTTGACTCCCAAGCAGGGATCCTTACATTATACACCTGAACATTGCCTTGTAGATGGTGGTTTCCCTTTACTTTGGTGGAAAAAGCCATGTTTCAAATGGGCAAAATGTATCTTCTAAGGAGCCCTGCCAAGTAAAGGAACCTTTTATCGTGGTGAGCGCGTTCCCCCAGGTGAGCTCTGACGTTCAGCCCGCCTGCAACAGCTGCATGGGTACGAAGTCGGAGCGCAGCAGGGCCTCGGTGAGAGAAAGCAGGTTGCAACCCAAGCAACACAACTGAGACGAGGGTTGTGAGAGGCTTCCCCAATGAGCACAATCAACATCGATTCGGGTAGATGAAGGTTAAGAGACGGTCCCAGACAGAAATAGCTGCGGCCGCCTTCTTAATTCTTTATATACATGGTTCTGGGTCAACCATTTTTATACCGGGTTTTTGAAGCCGGCCAATTGGCAAATCGCCGGGGGTTCAACCTGTTCACCTCAAACATATTTAGCGACAAATCGTCCATAAGGGAAGCATGCAGAAATCCGAAGTCAGCATGGAAGAATCAGGACCTTCTGCCCGGCTGGAATGAACTTTTGGGCATGAAAGCCAAGGGCTTCGTGTCGGTTCATTGAAATAAGCACAGCCTAACGGATCCAAAATACCATTTAAGTAACCAATCTTGCATTTGAGGGGTGGGTTGCTTGCTTCAAGCCACAAGTGGGCAAATCAAAGAGCCCACTTAAAAACGGAAACCCAAGCGGAGTCGGTTGGAAACTAATGCTTGGAGGAGGCAGTTAAATGCAATGAGAAGGCAGATATCTGGATTTCTTAGATTGCCCACCTGACTATTATATACAGTACCCTCAAAATTGTGACTTCCTTCTCCAGTGGAAAAGGAGACATTGTGTAACATGGCTAATTGGCTAGATTCTGAAATTTTCAGGAGCCGTGGTCAGCTTCCCGCCAACTGGTAGTTTGGATTGGTGGTCCAGGATGGGGTTCCCATCTTTAGCAACAAGCAAGGGGTTCAATTCCCCAAACCACCAATCCAAACCACCAATTTCATGGTAACCTGGTGTGGAGTCCTTGTTGGCGTTTCGTAACAAACAAAAAGACACGGCGATCGCCATGAATCTGATTCGCTCGCCTCCTCCACCGCATGCTGCTCCCGCTCCTTGCGATGCCTCACCTGTCACGGGTTTGCGGTGTCCGCGCAGTTGCAACGGTATGGGAACCCTTTTTGACTGATCCAACTTCTATGTAGTGGGGGATCCCACCAAACGAAAAAGGATCCAAAGGGTGGAATCTGCGGAACCCCAAACAAGTTTGACACCCTAAACATCCCCAACGAAGGGAAAAACACTTAGTTCAAGCCCAAGTCCCATTCCATTGCCATGCATGTTCCTCCAAATTGTACCCACATTCAAGAATCATGTACTCGGAAGGGTTCTCTTGTTGCCCGTCCTACACTAGACAAATCTCCAAGAGATGTTGGCCATCAGCCTGTCACTTGCTTCACAGCTCCACTCAACCAGAAAGAGATCGCACTTTAGCCCCCACAACCAACCGGTTCAAGTCCACCTTGGGGTAATACAAAAACGAACCCTGACCAACCCAACCCAATTGCGGCACTCCAAAGCAGCCATCCCCTTCAGCCTGCAACTGAACCAGCCCCAAATTTGACAAGCGACCAGAAATGCCTGCGCCAACGCCAGCTGATGTGCTGCAGATTGAAAGGCAGCGTTTGCCGCGGCCATCTGCTCCTGACACTCTTTAATCCCCAACTCCTCAGAAGCCACCAGCCCAAAGTTCAGCCACTGGATCTTCCCACTTAGTGCCTCCCATTCATGGGCGATGGCTTTTCTCGCAACGAAGCTACAGTTCTGACTCGCGTTCTCCGTGTTTCGGATTGAAATCCAACGAAAAGTCGAAGAGTGACTTTCGGCAACCAGCGAGATTTGGGCTTGCCTCAAACTTCAGGTAGGCCGAATAAAACGACAGTGCCCACCAAAGGAACTGCACCCAGCCGCAAACAAAGCGACCCATCCGGAACGCAGGCATAGGGTTCCTCGCATCACACCAAGATAAAACTCAATCAAGATATCCGAGCCGTAGACTACCTGTGCCAAAAACTGGGGACGGTACAGGCGTTCTGCCATAGAATTAAGGTAAACCCAGACCCCAATACTGTTGATGTTCAAGCCACTTCCGAAGCAGCATGGTTGCAAGGGGACTAACCCATCTAAAACTTTGGTTGTGACATTCCTGTGCTGCCAGCCTTACAGCAGGTAACCAGGGCAAGGAATCATCATCGTCATCATCATCATCATCATCATAATCATCATCATCATCATCATCATCATCATCGTCATCATCATCATCAGCAATAGGTAGAGTAGCTACCGTGTTGCCTACGATAGTGGTTACCGTGTTGCCTACGATAGTGGCTTCCCTAGCATCACTACTCTACTTACGTGAGTTGAACATCCAACCAAGTAGGGCCTGGGGGCAAAACATACAATGGTCATTTGGGGGCAAACTGATGGGTGTTTTTCTTTTGGGGGGACCCACACCCAAAGATCAACCCCATGTCTGTCCTGGGCAACCAGCTCTTGAGCGCGGGAGGCGTCAAGTGCTTCTTCCAGCGTGCCGGCCTGCAGTTGGGAATCCTGTCGCGAGTGGTGAGTGACGGGAGGGAACCAACAGGTTCTCAGCTTCCCTCTTGGTGGTTTGGTTTGGATTGGTTTGGAAGTTACGGGGGTAGCTTCCCATTGACCCTCAATGGGGTTCAAAGCCCCCTTTCCACCAATTGAGGGGAACCTGAATGGCCTACTCTTTGAAAGGACATATTGACATGAAGAAACCGTATAATTGTTGCTATATTTGCACAAGTAACTCAGTCATATAATATCCAAACCACATTAGTCGGAATTTGAAAGGGCTAAGCGACAGAGGATCAACAATTTAGGCACCACACCTCCTTGATGGTCCATCAAACGACTGAAAAAGTATCACCACTGCTTCGAATCTTGGGGGGGGAAAAAAAACACGGGTGAGGAAGCGGCACCCTGCTTGTTGAGTGCAACAAAGAAACCAATACACTTCGCTTGGTGAGCTGTATTTTCGTTCTTTGCAAACCATCTCCAAGTCCAGGGCCGGCCCCTTGAGGGGTGTACTCCCGCCTTTCATTTCTTCAGCTTGAATCGCAGTTTGCAAACCACAGAAATGAAAATCATCAGTTTCGTGGTTTTTAGGGGCAATCAGAAGGAATCAGAAGGAACACACCAATCTGGGACCTGCAGAATGAAGGACATCAGTTACGCCAAGGTGGAAATTCCACGTTGGAGCGCTGCCCTCGGCCCAAAGGGAGAAGGAAAGCGCTAGCACTGACGGACATGTACCGAACCCGAGGCTTCTAGCCAGTAGGTTGCTGGTAACCGGGGGCAAAACATCATGTAACACCGAACAAAGTAAAATACCTGATTTGGCTTTGTGGCTGGCTGTAGTGCGTCGATGAGAACTCCGGCTGCTCATCCTGCAGACATTGTCCCTGGCTCTTCACTTTAGTGGGAGGGCCAATAGTCCTACAGACAGGTATGCCACGCAACTGGGCTTCTTTTCGGATTCCCTCTAAACCAACCCCAAGGTAACATCCGTGGATCCGGGAACAACCCGGGCTCATCCCAAGCGCGTCCTGCACACACTGGGCATGCCGATGAAGCAGTTGCTCCTCGTCATGCCGATGTCTTTATCACTGGATGGCTACATCTCCCCACACAAAGTCCAACTTGCTGTCGAGTGGGCTATGCTTGGTAGAGATACCGGTGACCAGCTATCCAGAGAGCATGAGGAACGAGCAAAAATTGCCCCAAGCGCAATCCCACAGTTGCTATCACGGTCACACCTCTTCCCTTTGAACGCGGGCAACGGCCCGCGAATCTCCCGAATAAGGCTAAAGTCCCAAGATTCAAAACACCAAGTTTGCGGGTCTAACATTTCAGGCTTGCTCAAGGGACAAGTTCAAGGGCTCCTTAGCCTCAAGTCTCAGGGAAGTGTAACGTGTTTCAAAGGTGAGGATCTTCACAGGGGACCCATGGTTAGGGTGGTACCCACAAAAGCGATCTGGACCCCGACTAAAGGACATCACCTGATCCCAATTAACTTGGGATGACAGTGCTGGGAACCCAGAATCTATAACCTCTGGTTGGGTTGGGAAATGGGCGTGTCTTTTTTCAGGGGCCCCCTCAAAACAAAAGGCGGTTTTCCAACAGCTGTGCCGCATCAAAACCGTTTTCCAAACGAGTTCATGACGTGTCAAAACTATCCTTCGGAAGTCCGCAACGAGAAGGCTCCTCAAGACATCCGCAGGATGTGTGCCTGTGGCTTACGAAGCTTCCAAAATTTGGGAGTGATTGTCCGCTCTTTCCAGAGTATTAGTGGCTATCTTGCCACCCAACGGCAAGCGGAGAGAGGCCGGTGAAGGGGGTCTGCTGTCTGCCTAAACCCACGGCACAGAATCAAGAGGGCTGAAACGTGCTGCATGAATTTCTGGCTGGGATGGACGCTTACTATGTTCGTGTTCCTAGAGTCTTCAGACCCTCACTCCAAACAGGGGAACGTTGCACCTCCGCGCAGTTGCACAAAAGGGGCGCAAGTACCAGGTACCCGGTCGTCCAGCAAGCCATGGCACTGCAATATGGGATGGATTGCAATCTGCAAAGGATTGACTTGAACAGGCAAAGCTTGCATAGTTTCATCGCAACAGCCAAGCTGACCATCGCAGGTCAAACAGCTACACCCAAACTGCACAGCGCACCACAGTTGAAGGGACATGGACATAGGTGGCCTCTTGGAAATATCGATGGGTTTCCCTTGTAAGTGCAAAAACAAACCATCCAAACAAGTGAACCCCCATCTAATTCTCACCAAACTAACCGATCAAACAAACGCCAAACGGTGGAGACTCCCAGCCGACCGCTTTTGATCTGGCTCCTTGCTCGCCAGAAGCTTGCGATCTGCGTGGATCTCCGCCTGCGCTCAAAATCGATTCCCTGAAACAAACATCTTCGTAAATTCATCGGGATTGGGGGGGAGGGAGGAGAGGGGGAAGGGAGCACAAATAAGCCCTTATTAAGCCCTGAATAAGGCCTTATTTAGGGCTTATTTGGGCTCCCTCCCCCCCTCCTCTCTCCCCAGCCCCAATGATAAATCGGTGCCAAAATCCATATCAACGGTCGTTGGACATGTGTTGCGTCATCGAAAACCGGTGCCCAAGATCAATCCCGCGAACTTGCCGTGGCGCTTGCTCGACTGGCAACGTGGGAGTTCACTGTGATTCACATGCCTGGATGATTACACCACCAGGTAAACCAGGAATCGCCATCTATTTTTAGAGCAAAACGACCAAAAAGGACACCTAGGGTCCATGCCCAACTCGGGTGGCTGGGAATGCAACATGGCTCCGCTCCCCTTTTTGCTTCTTAGAACGGGCTCCGAACAATATGTCGAATCCCAGTTGCCCAGTTGCCCAGCCCCCCTTGGGAGGACTGTATTGTTTTGACCAACGGGAAGCCCTCCGCTCGAAGGAACGGGTGTCACTGAACGCTTCACTTCGGAAAGTAGCAGAAGCCTGGCGGACCGTGACGAGTGCTTCCAAATCGATCAACAAGCACCCTGGACATGTGGCGGGGTTGACTTTGATATGCTGTCCAGGTCACTTTTTTGGGGTGGAACACTTCAACATGTGCAAACATCCGCGGTCAACGCACTGGACCTGGCCAAAGGAATTCGTCCCAAAAGGTCCCAACAATTTCTTGGCCTCCGAGCTGACATGCACACCCCGTGACACCACGTGCCATATCAAGTGGGGTGAAAGCGAACTTCCATGTGAATCTCACTTAGACAGCACCTGAAAATGAGAGACGCATCTTCTGTAATATTCAGACCAGATTTGTGGGAATTCCACCAAACCAAAAGGTTGCCACGCCGGGGCACAAGGTCAATTTCTGGGAACCTCTCAACATGGTTGCCATGTGGCGAACCTTTTGGAGCTTGGCTCCAAATTGAGCCATGGCAACTCCGAAGGGAGATGAGTCCTTCCGCTAGACAAGTGGCCATGGGTCAAAACCCCGTACCCCCAGTGAACATCCCAACCCCCACTAAACTAGACTAAAATGGGTGGTGCACCTACCCCAAAATGGTACCATTGGTGTTGACCCAGGGTCAAGTGAACTTGGAGGAAAATTGTGCGGATCTTTGGGCTATTCTCTGTCAGGGTCAATCCAATTGAAGAAAAGTTGAGCTCACTTGTTTTTTCTCCAGGGAACCCCTCCCCATTTCGCAGCCCCAACTCATGGACCCTAACTCAGAGGGGCTCCGACCGCTCAAGAATTTTCGTATCCCACCGGGGACCACCCCCCTTCGTGTCCTCCGGATTGATCTGAAGTCATTCCCAAGATCAAACCAACACATGGGAGCTTCCCAAAATGGCATTGAACCAGGGTGTTCGCGAGCGCAAGGCATTGAACTCAAACAATGGCAGGTGACGCGAAGCCCTCAGATTATCCAGGGCTTGTGTCCCCTAACATGACCTCAAGTCGATGTTTCAAGCACCCAAAAAGGGGCAATGATGAGCCAGCACAACGTTTCAAAGGTTAAGGTATCATGCCGAACAGCTCTCCAGGACGCAGTGGAAAACTCCCCTCCAAAACACGGAGCCAAAGCTGGCCCTGTCATCTTGGCCCACCAAAAAACACAATGTTCATGTTTCTGCTTCATATGCTTCTCAGCTTCCCTGCAACTTTCGTGGGTTGGATTTGTTGGGTTCAGGGCAGCCTCCCATCCCTCCACAAGAACCAGAAATTCAGCTCCCCAACCCCAACCACTTCCCATTAACCCTCCACAAGAACCAGAAATTCAGCTCAAACCAACCCCAACCAATTGTCCGGGACATTCGGGGACACCATAACTCGGTTGCATTCTGCTCCCCTGCCAAAAGTTTATGACTTTCAGTGGTTTCATACGGAAAACCCCTTCGTTGGCCACAAGTTCTTCAGTCCTAACCAAGCAAATGCACCAAAGAATCTAGGAGACGTGGCCATCCGCCTGCAGCGCCCTTCCTTCCTCCAGCAGCTGCCGATGTCGCTGCCGGAAGGTGGTCTCTGCGGCCACCCGCTGGAGCTCCTGTGCAGAGGCCGCGCTACGTGTTGCACGGAGGGGGGGGTCGAAGCTTGCCCCCAACAAGAACCGGAAGGGGAGGAAAAAAAAGGGCTCAAACAGAGGTCCCAGAAAAAAAAAAAAAAACAAGTGCATGAATGATGCCTTCGTGAGTATCTGAGGGAAGTATGCTTCACCCTTATACATTGGCTGCGTAGCTAGATTCGTGATAACTAGTGGAAAGCATCTCAGAGAAACTTGGTGCCCTAGCAAGGCCCCATGAATTTTGCTAGTGGGAAACACACACGTGTCCCAGGTTCAAAGATGCCACCAAATAGTAGGCAAGCAAAGAGTCTGTGCCTTCTTTTGAGGGTCGTCTTGTTGGTTAGAGCAAACCCAATGAAAACCACCCATTTGGAAAGCCTCGTGCCTCTTTAACGATATTTCTTGGTAGGGGGTTCATAGGTCTGCAAACGGCTATGTACCACTATGAGGGTATGTCCTGCCCAAACAAACGTGGAGGGGAATAACTATACCGACAAAACACGCGGCTCGCCCAGAAGCATCTTTATGGGGATGTCTGCCGCTGCCTTTAGGGTTTAGGTTTAGGGTTGTTAGGGTTTAGGTTTAGGGTTTTTAGGGTTTAGGTTTAGGGTTTTTAGGGTTTAGGGTATTTAGGGTTTTTAGGGTTTAGGTTTAGGGTTGTTAGGGTTTAGGTTTAGGGTTTTTAGGGTTTAGGTTTAGGGTTTTTAGGGTTTAGGTTTAGGGTTTTTAGGGTTTAGGTTTTTTTAAAGGGGTTTTGGGGTTTTTAGGGTTTAGGGTTTAAACCAAGACAGGGTGCTCCAAATCCAGGTTTCGACCCCCAAGTTTTTGAGGGAGTTCACCACACACAGGTCTACAAGCTCCCACGCCTGCCACGTTTTTTTAAGGGTCGGGGCGGGGGCGGTCGCAGACGTCGCGGGCAAGCGGGATGGTTTGGCCGTAACTATACATATTGGGCTTGCATCATAGGACGGACCCCCCCCAAAGTGACGGCCTTCCTGTGGGTGTCAAGTACAGTGAACATTTCGAGGTTCTCAAAACTAGCTGAGGTCAGAAACACCGTGAGTCTAGAGGCAATTGTTCAAACATGTCACTTTGCTGGGCGCAGTGAAGAAACCGCCCGGGTGGGTTCCGGCGTCTATGCTGCCTACTGGTGGTGACCAAACATGTTGCATCTGGTTTTCGAATGGGGGGTTCCTT